GTGTGTGTGGAAGGCAGCATGGGATTCTGTTTGAATGGGTGAGATTTCTGCCCTGGCATCTGGAGGAGAGGATTTCTCCCTGCTTGCCAGTGCTGAAGTGTTCAGACTTGCTGGAGCGAAGGCAGGGTCTCTGTGACTTGCCTTCATGAAGCAAAGAGTAGCAGCTATTAGAACTTGCTAGTGGGAAGCGTTGCTATGTAGCATTGTTCAGCCTCACACGCTATTTTCTCTTTACCCAAATATAGGTTTGAACACCCTGATGCCACCTCTGTGTAGGAATACTTTCTCCAGGGACTACTCCATTAAATTTACTCTTCCAGACATCTTTCAAATAGTTGTGGGGGACTTTTACAATGGTGAGCCTTTAACAAAGCATTTGCAGCGTTTGGGAAAGCATGAGCGATGTTACATGATTTACTTATGCTATGCTTTCCTTCCACAAATCTCAAAACACAAATGTGTGTAAGTGTGATGAGAAGTCTTCATCTCACACTTAATTAAGGAAATACTTTATGTGAAACTGGATGATTGAAATGCAATTCCAGGAAATAAAAACTGAAGTAGTCGTTCCCTTTGATCAGCTGCTCAACACAGCCCCATCGGCTGCTTCACTTGTGCTCATGGGTGGTGGGACTGAATGGGGCATTACACTTCTCTGCTGCTGTCTGTAACTTTGTGGTGGCCACTGTTGGAATCACAGCAGCTGTGTACGAGGGCAGCCACTCTTACCTAGAAGCAGAAAACAGTTGTTAAACTTCACAAGACTGCTGCATCCTGTATTTGTTTCAAATGAAAAGTATTATCTCAGTAAAGTTCTATAGAGCACATTGGAACAAAACTCTTTTTAAAGGCATTAAAGGTGTTATTAAAGCTGAATTATGGAACATGCATTTTTAATAAGGAGTATTCCAGCATGATTTATATGCCTTTTTAGCTGCTCTTTGTAAAATTTTTTGGCATTTCGCACAATGGATGTCAATCTAATGACAAGTGTAACTCTTAACTGGTTTTGATCAAGCACACAAAGACATGGAAAGAATTGATATCTCTGGTATGTAGTACCTAATCTTGAAAGAGAGGTTGAGAGAGGCATTTTTAGAATCACTAGTGGCTTTCTAAGGATAATTAGTCCACTGTGTCTTAGGGAGTGTTTTCATGTCCCAGAAGTCAAAGTTCCTTTTCATATGTAAAACTCATGTTATAGCTGCAGGAAATAATTCTTACTGAAAAGCCAAACTAATCACTTCTTAATTGGATTTTAATTCTCTTTGCTATTAATGAATCATAAAAAAATTATAAAAGGTTTGTGGACATTCAGGTATTGCTCACAGCTTAAAAATATATGCATTAAACCTATTTGGATAAGATTATTTTTTGTTTGTGTTTTGCAGCAGTATTTCAAACCCTGTGTTGAATCTTACCTTTATAAGGTTAATTTTAAATCTATACAAGTTTGAGGTTGAATTTTGCTTAGAAGAATTTTTGGTTTTGCAGAAGTAATATTATTTCAGAAGTACAAGCCCTGTCACACAGACATTAACTGTATTTACTTGTAAAACTTACTATATAAACTGTCTTCAAAGTGAATTTCCATTGTCAGGTTTAGGTGAAAATGGAGTGTAAATTGCTTTCAAATGCTAAGTTAACAAAAACCAACAAAACACCACTCTATAAATATATATGTATGCACTAAAGAAGAATGACTTAGATTTGGTTTTGTGTAGCTTGTATAGATTAATCTTCATGTAATTTATAGGAATGAGTAATTGTGCAAACAGTGCCGCTTTCTCCCTGGGTCGTAAGAAGAAGAATAGGGCCTATAAATTCATGCCTCAGGTTCCGGCATCGGAACTGAAAGTGATTCTTTCTGGCACTGAGACCCCTCTGCTGTGTGACAGATAGGGACATTAGTGTGAGATTAAGTGAGCTACAGCTATTTCAGGGCTGCTGTTCTGCTCCAGCAGTATGCTCCTAGAATAGCATGAAGGTTTGCAAGCAGCAGTAGTGCCCTGTCAACCACACAGCATTGTGGTGCATTTCTAGAGGCTGAAATTATGTATTTTTAGCATGTCTCTCCTTGAATAGTGAGTTTCAGCATTCATAATAATACGTCTGAAGTATTGTTCTCCACTATTTTCCCTCCAAAATCACTTTGCTAATATGAAACATTGTTCTCAGCTCTTTTCCCTCCAAAATCACTTTGCTATTATGTCCTCCTCTTACATGCTAATGCCTGTAGTGATATGAGTCTTTATTTGAAAATATATGAGTAATGAGTACAAGTGGATCACTCCTATCTATGATAAAGTAGAAAACAGTAGCATCCTTTTATTAGCATTTACTGCTGTAAAAACTGACTGCTTCTAAAATTAGGCATGAAATACCATCTTGGGAAATTCTTTTTAGGGCTTGCCCTTTCCAGTTTACCTTAATCTTTGAGATAGAAGCATGTTCCTTTATTGGTTACATGCATAAACTGTTGGACTTGCTTCAGAGATAACACCTAATTTAAAGGTGAGATTGAATCAGTTGTTGAAAATAGTCTATTTGGAGAAGCTTAACTAGCTTCACGTATCTCAGTGTCTCACTGAATTGATTTCCACCCCCCTCCTGTTTGTTCATCTTGGAGGGAGAGGTAATCATTATTTTAGCAAAGATAGGAGTGAAAACTCTTAAATTGCAAATGTCACCTTGACGCTTATCTTCTTTTTGTTGCGTTTTCATTTGATGGTATGTTATTTAATCTTAACTGATGATGATAAAAGCCCTACTGAAGTCAGTTTTCAGCGAGTTGTTTCAAAAAAAAAACCTCCTTGTGCAGAAAGAAGCAGTAAAATCAGTGTCATCCTTTAATCATCAGGAAAGGACTGGCCAACAGCCGGAATTGCTGGAAACGCAGGAGGGCCAGGTGCTCACTTTGCGTGAATTGCCCGCTGCAACTGGAGCTGATGGATGGCATCTTAAAGAGGAATCTCTGTGGAACTCCTCATCACCAGCCTCGGCTGTTCTCCTGTCCATTGGTTATTTTATTTTTTTTATAATGTTCAGCTAAATACTGAAAATGAAAATCCTTTCTATCCTACTTCAGTGAGTTCTGATGAGCACTTTGTCAGTAAAGTTGTAGCAATAGTTAGAAACAGTGATAGAATCTGTGTAAAAATGCCTTCAGGCTTTTGTTCTGGATTCTTCCATCTGCTGGGAACTATGAAATACCAAATTTTATCTGGAATATGTCTGCAGGTTTTAGTGAAGCCTTTGGACCTAGATGTGGTTTCATTAGAAATTTCTCCATTTCCTTAGCAATGATTAAAATTAAATGCAATTATTTTGTTTTCAACATGCCATGTGGATTTACATGTTTCACATTACAGTCAATGCTCAGAATAAATGTGTTGCACAGGCTCATATTACTCATGAGGTTCATGTGTTACAAAAATAGATACTGATGATCACACGCTTTATAATAAAGCATGGTAGGTCTGTTTCCTTTAAAAGCACAGGGCTTGTAAACATGCAACAAAATGTTAAGAATGTCATTCTTCATTTACCACTTCTTTGTTCTAATTAGACTAGAAGCTGCAAATAATGATGCTAAAGCCAAAGCAATGAAAAGTAGTCAACCAGAACTCTACAACAAGCAGTTAACTGCATTCACACCCACATGTTTTGCTTGACTGGCAAAACAAGACATGCTGGATCCTAAAATAGAGTGTGCAGGCAGATAAATGCATCAAAACAAGATATGGCAACTGTGATAAGCAATTGCAGTCTATGTTTGTGTACATGGAATTTAGCTGTTAAGTTCAAACAGTGCTGTGGCAGTCATAGATATAAGACACATGAAAGCATGTGCTGTGTGGGTTCTTGGGTGTTTTGAGAGCTGATCCCGTGAAAGCCAACAGGTAGTTCTTTTGTCTTGCTGGATGGATTTGGGGTTCTGCAGTGTTAGGGCTCCTGGTTCTAGCTGCTGGACAATGTTGAAAATGCACCAAGCACTACGAATGTTTCTGTCATGGCTTGCTGAGGTGAAGTGGTTGATGAGGCAAGCTGGAAAGACTGGCCAGTGCATAGTGCACTTTACTGAATATAGACTTGCTTTGGTGAAACCATGCTGCATGTACCAGTGTTGAGTAGTCAGCTTTTTTGTTTTCACAAGGCTTAGTAAGATAGAGTGTCTTCAGCTATTCAAAATTTGCTCTTTTAACTTCAGTCGTCTTGTGTATGAAGTGACTCTGTTAAGACATGTTGTTAATGCTAATGTATTAATACTAAAACCAAAATACTGTGTCTTTTAAAATATCTTTGGCCTTCTGCTTGTGATTAAATTTACAAGCAAAGACTGCTGCATCAACTGATATAAAGGAATTCTCTGATTTCAGCGGTACAAGACCAGATCTTTAGAGTTTTACATATTTATTGGTAGTTGCATAGCTCTCTGTTATTCAAAACAATGTAATGCTTAGTGGGGTCTCACACAGTCACCACACTATCATGAGTTTTTCTTCTCTGTCTACTCTTCTCTAGTGTCTGAAACTTTGAATTTTTAAAAAGGAGAAGTTTCTAGCACTTGTAATTTTAGATCGGAAATCTGGTTTTAGTTCTGTTCCTTCTCCTTGCCAGCTCAGTCTTTGCTGCTTTCATATATGATGGACCATGCAGTTCTTGTGTTTTCACAACACCAGTCTTCCCTTGCAGAGAGTTGTATTCATTTTGCAGCATTTTCTTAAACCCTGTTGTATGTAGAATTGACAAATAAGACACATAAAAATGATGTTGTCGTACCCCTTGTATTGTCTTATTTCGATACATTTTCCATAGCTATTAAGCAACAAGATGGGTGATGGCCATTACTGAACCTGCCCTGGACAATTGGTGCAGATTGCTTGGAAAGTTTTACCCACTGGACACCATGACAGCGATTGCTTCTGATTCTTGTTAACACCACTTGTGGAGAGTTACGACAGTAACAGCATTTCACATTTCTTTTTCACTTGTCTTAGGTTTTCTACCCTAGCAAAGATGGCACTAAGATCCCAATGTTTATTATTCACAAGAAAGGAATTAAATTGGATGGTTCTCATCCTGCCTTCCTGTATGGTTATGGAGGCTTCAACATATCAATTACACCAAGCTACAGGTAAGCAGGGTTATTTATACCTTCTTCTGAAGTATCAGGTATCAACAACTGTCACAGCCTGAGTACAGGGTGAACTATGGATCTCACAGAGTAAAGCATTTCAGGTCCCTGAGAAGCAAGATGGGAGCCGTAAGGACTGAACATTAGTGTCCAGGCATCATTTATCTGCTTTGTTAGTCCTGAAATCAACGGGTTTGCCCAGAGTTACAGAATAAATCTGTGTCAGAGCAGAGAAGTGTTCTTCTGAGGTTTACAACAGGCACCCTGCCCTTTGGATTACACCTTAACCTCTTCCCATTCTGTTACTGTGCTCAACAGAAGAGCATATGGACATACATCAGGCAAGTATTAGGGCCCTTTAATAACATAGGAAATGTTCTTTTTTCCCACGTTATACGATTACCTATGTCTAAATACTAAAGAAAAATTTGTTTAAATGAATGTAAATAATTAAAATTTTGCCTAGTTTTTATATTATACTTTTGAGGAGATTACATCTGAAGCAAATTGTACTGTGTTCCCATATGATCACGAAAGAGGAAAGATGATTGTCTTGAGATGCAGTTGATATGGGCTCTGTATATGCAAAGCAATGCATTGTAAACCAAAACTGCTATGTGCAAAACAGGATTTGTAGCCCTCAAAAGCCATAAGCTTTATTGAATAGATGATCTCTTTACAGAAAAAGCTTATTTCTTCAGCAAGGGAATTTTTATAGACTTTCCAAGAGTCAGTGGTTGTCTGTAATACATAAGAAATGCTCTTAGGCGAGGCAATGGAAAACAAAGGCAGAGGACTGAATGGAAAGCAATTTTTCATATAGCAGAAGAGCAGCTTACCAACACAAAAATAACCTATTATGAAACAATCCTATTAAGTTTAGGTGCTATCAGTCTTGCTTTAGATTCAGCACATTTCAAGAAATCCTTCGTAGTGCTTGCTTTTCCAGGTCACTGTGATTGTATTTGTGAATAGCATTTACAGTTTCCCATCCTTTCTAGTATATACCTTGTCTGACAATGGACCTCCCATTTAGTGTCCATGATTATTTGAAAGCTTTTTATCTGCCTTGTAAAGTTACATGTTTAATTTCCTGTGTTTTTTGAGAGATACAATTATATTTCCAGAATAGTTTTTAAATTCCTTTTTTGACTAGGCTGAAGCACTGATTTATTGGAGTTCATTGCAGGTGCTGAAAACTGTGATAAAACTTAATCATGTTTTCTTTTTCAAAGTAAATATTATGTATCTGTTGATTTAAGGTAAAATTTCAAGTACTGCAGAACTGACACCAGCTGGCTGGCAAAAGGAGAAGGTATCTCACAGTGCCTCCTTCCACCATTGGCTCTGGTGCTTGCTGGAATCTTTGCTAAGCTGATTTACCTTGGAAGAATGGCAAAAAAACTATCCCAGCAAAACAGAGTGGGTGGTTTTCTGCCATTTTGGCTAGTTGAAAATTGGCTCTAGTAGGAGTCTGCCAAACGGCAGCAAGAGGGTGCAGGTGACAATCAGAAGAGAGGAAGATGGAAGGTGGGAGCAGTGACCTATATCTTCCCAAACCCTGTGAAACTATTACACAGTTCATAAAATATGAACAAGAATATGAATCTGTTATGGTCCCTTAAAAGTAAATACACAGAGAACTGTCAGTCACTACCAGATCAAAATACATTATCCCACCGACAATGTAAATAAACCACAATTGGCCGCACCTCCCTCATTCACTCACTGTGATATCAACATATTCCTTTCTCAGCCTTTCTCTTCCTAAAAGGCAAATAAGAAAAGCCAAAGCCTTCAAATGCATCTTTATGGTTAATAACCTGAGAATTGAGTAACTCAGTGAAAAAGTGTGCTGCAAAAATAGGTAAGATCAGGGAAAGGAAATTCTAATAGAGAATTTATGCCAGAAAGGCAAGACATTCAGTTCTCCTTTATCTGATAGATTCAAGTCATGTTTGACTATATCCCTGTTACAGTTTACTGCAGTATTCCCAGGTGCAAGGGCTGTTCCAGACACAGCCCAACACCATGACTTGGTCAGGATTTTTGTAGATGACCACAAACATGAGTGCCAGAAAGCAGCCACAGGATGGTCAGGGCGGAAGCTTGCCACATTGTCCACCTGACCCTGAGCTGAAACATAGCTATAGAAATGCAACTGAGTAGTAGCCTGCTTACCTGTAAAGCAAATAAACAAACAAGTTACTGGGTAAATATTGCTGATTTTTTATTTGAACTTAGGGTTCTTACAACTGTTCACAAAGCATTCCATCTTCTCCTTTCCAGCAGTTTGTTTCTGTCATATATTTCTTCGAGCCAGTACAATGTTTTGTCACTGGTATTTTGCACCCATTAACGTCAGCCAGCTTTCTGGCTTGGGGAGCTTATTTCTGCTTAATTCAGAATCCAGTGTTGCTTTTCTTTATTTCCCCAACAGAAAAAAATGAAAATCTTTTTGAAAGCAATAGAAACAAACCAACAGGTTAGAGGATCCAGAAATAACTACGAGAATGATAGGCCAAAGTCATTAAGTCAGTTACAGTAGTGGTTTATTTTTGAATGCAAGCATGCATCTTTTATTGCTCCTCGGGACTGAAGAGCTGCATTTAGTAGTAGTTTGAGTATGGTACCCACTAGAGCACTGTCGTTAATTATACAGCCTGCATAGCGAGTGCAAGTGAAGGCTGATGGAACTGACACCAGTGGCTTGTCAGAGCTGCTGGGGAAATGCCATGACAAATGTACCACTCATGCCTCTGATTCGGCTAATTACCCTGCAGGAACCAACGTGTTTCCCTTCACTGTCCTCTATGTGCCTGTGTGGGTACAGGAAAAGCAATTTCTAATGCATCCTGGAATAGAGCTGATTGTGAAGCAGACTGTGAAATTGCATTTCACTGCTAGAGGGCCAGGTTGTACCAAGCCTTTAAGCAAAGAGGTAGTGCAGAGAAAGACTGTAAGGTCAGAGAAAGGTCAGCCAACATAGCAGCCATGGGTGCAGAGTGCAAGATTACTCTTTTCAGTTAGTTTGGTACCACTCCCTCCTACTCCACAAAAGCCAAGAAAGCAACCAAGTCCAAAGACTCAGGGATAATGAGCAAAAGGCTATAGACACTGATGGAAGAGCAGGCACCAAGACTTCCCTCTGCAGAATGAGGTGTTTCATAGGAATCCAGGGTGACTGGTCAGTTTGCTGTGACTTGAAATCAAACCTGGAAGCAAGAACCCACCTGGAAGAACACAGGAGGCAATAACAGGATTGTGTATGAAAATTGAATTTTGTGCTGTCTGATCACTTGGAATTTTCACTTTTTAAAAAAAATTAATTCCTAATTATATACTTAACAAACCTAGTCTCTTGAACCTAACAGTCACTTTGATAAAGCTTGCTATAATCTCTAGGCACGTCTACCTCAAACTGTTGGTCAAGTTAGGGTCCTGACTCACTTTACTACTGACCATACCAGAGTGGGTATTACTTAATAGTCATTAGCAGGGACATTACTAGATGTACATGTTGGAGTATATGGGGTAATGTTTTCTGAAGTACCTAAATCCTGGTAGTAGTGGGCACAGATTTACTGAACTTTACTTATAATTTGGGCAATATAATGATTGTTACCACACTCTGGACTTTGTCCCATTGAGGGTCTGTGCAACAGAAAAATTATTTGCCTTGTGTAAATGGGGACTAGCTTCCTATAATGAATACTGCGTATCCTATGAGAGGCTAAGTCACTTAGACCCCTCCAAAAATTATCATCCAGGTGCCACTTCTGTTAGAGAGTCCATGGACAGGATGGGATGCACTCAATACTCTCTGGTTTTGCATTGCTTACGTATTCTTTGGTGGTTAAATATGCTGATCTCTCAGCATGTTTCTTTCAGCAGGTGGAAGAAGATGGACTCTGTGCAGAATATTCTGGGAGGTTTTGTGGCTCTAACATACCAAAAATTAAGAAGTCTCAGTCTCATGAGGCAGCCTACTGTCAGGCTACTCCACATTAGCTGTGTAGCAACCTGTCAAAATTAGGCATCCTGGAGTTTGACAGAACAATGCTCTCTGACCTTTGCGCAGTGTGCTTAGAGAATATCAATCTTGCATCTGATCAGCATGTCACAGCAATCTAAGAAAACACAATTCACAGAGATGCACTTCAGAACTGATTTTACAGAAGCAAAGATAATTCATGCCTCCTGAGCCATCTGATAGCCACAGATAACCAGCCTAGGTGGAAAATTTTTCTTTTGATGGATTATCAAAATACAGAAATCTGTTATCAGTTGTCCTTCTGCTTTTCGTTTTCTTAATCCTTAGTGTATACTCTGAAGAACAAGTGCCAGTACATAGATAATTGCTTTGGAAAGTATGAAAAATTTACCTGTTTTGACTTTACATCCACATGAGACACTGTAGGACTGCCATCTTTCAAGACATTTCTTATAAGCAGTAGGGGAACTTAAAGGGAGAAAGGCCCAATCCTTGCACTTGGGGTTGAATAGGATTAATTTCTGCAGGCAGTGGTTTCTAGCATGAGCAAAGATTTCAAGTAAATAAGAAATGTAAACCTACTAGACAGAATAAACCCAACTTGTTGGGATTCAACTTTAATATTTTACTGGTCTCCTTGGCATATGTGTGGTTTGCCATCTGCAGCTTCTGCTATGTTAAGCTTCTGCTTCATCCAGTAAAAGATCTATTTCTCTTCTTAATTGTTAAATATAATTTAAATTATTTCAGTCCCTTTTGAAAAGATAGCAATAGCTTTGATACTTCTGCAGTCTGGCATTAAAGAAAAAAAAAACAAGTAATATGTTACGTTAGCTTTCAACCAGATTCTAAAGGTATTAGGAAAGGCAGAACTTGTAATTTTATTTATTTACTATTTGTTGTGTATTTAGCAGTGCAAGTGGAAAATAAATAAAAAGGTGGTTGGCCTTGAATGCCAAGCGTGGCACAAAACAATGGTAGAAGCAGAGCTTTTCTTTGCAAACACAATTTTACAAAAGTCAAAATAAAAAGGAATATTAAGCAGAAATGCTAAAAATACCTGCTCATAAACAAAGATGAAGTACTGATCTTAAGTCTTAATTCTTTTCTTTCTTCATTTGGGCTAAGCCTTCCATTCCTCTCTGAAAAAGTGTAGGACCCACTGAAGAGAAACAATTCGGAAAACTATGGGAGCCCAGTGATTCTGTGTAGCTGTGTTAGATGGGTCTAACACTGTAAAAATTGGTCCGTGGTGGACTACCTCGATTATCTAGAGTGTGCACGGCGGGGAGCCGGCAGGGCCACTACTCCTGGTGCAGGCTGGCCCCCTGCGTCAGGATGAATGTGCACGGGGAAAAAAGGAGCCAACAAGACCACTCCTCCTGACACGGGCTGGCCCCCTGCCTCAGGAGGAGTTGGCACTTTTTGGGATATATAAGGCCCGGGGTTCGAGAGAGATTGGGAAGGAGGCAGATCCAACTACCTTTTATAACCATATTACCTGCGCAGGAACACCCACAAAAGTATGTGCCTGCCACCCCGTTTCTCTCAATGCACCTTGGAGCTGGCTTCTTGGTCATTGAACAAATGTGTAGGTTGGTAAGAATCTGTGCCTAATCTATTCTTTGGTAGTCTTTAGTTATCTCTCTTTCTAGCTTGTTATATCTCTGGACTTCACATCTACTTTAGATCTTGTAATAAACTTTCTAGCGGTTTGGTGTATGTGTGTGGCTTACGTTCCTTCTCCACCTGGAATCCTTCAATCCCTGGAACAATAGCTCTGGTCCCCACACTGAAGGCTTTGAAGATAAAAAAAAAGCAGGGGGGTTCTGTTAGGCAGAACCACTGGGTAATCTCTTTCAAAGTGCAGAACTAAAGGAGGAAGAATGGACCAGTACTCGTTCTTTCCTCTCCCAAGGCCACAGGGGGTTTAATTTCCATGGGTAACCACTGAAAAAATCCTGGCTACTCAGGTTTGCCATCAAGGGGAACTTAATTATTTCATGATTGATTTTGGGAGAGATCTGTGCCTCAAAGTATTTTTGTAAAAGTGATAGGGATATAAAAATTGGAAATTAAAAATAATCCTCTATTGATTTGCTTTTTCAGTGTGTCAAGACTTATTTTTGTTCGACACCTTGGGGGTGTTCTAGCGGTGGCAAACATCAGGGGCGGTGGTGAATATGGAGAGACCTGGCACAAAGGTAAATCAGTCCAAATAGAGGAAAAAACCTGCAGCCTAAGCAATGAAAATCACAACATTTTCTCTTCACTATCTCTTCCATATTCCCATCTCCTTTTGCCTTTTACTTATTCTGTAGAAAAGTAATTTTTTTCCTTATTTATATGTTAGATCTCTACATTGTCCAGTGTTACCTGATAGTTTTCTTTAGATTGTTCTAATTTTTACAACCTACTGAAAAATGGTTTTGCACAAACACACTATTTTCCAAGAAATTATTGCCATTTTTAAAGCAAAATCATGTTCTCCACACTTTAGGATTTGAAAATCAAAAAAAACCTGTTTGTCTGTACTGCAGGAGACCTGGATTGCTTTCACATACCTCTTTCATTATTTGCAGGTGCATGTGGCCCCACAGTTCTAGACCCCCAAGACACCAGCAGTAACTATTTAGACTCTTTTGGTATCATGCAAAAAAAGACCCCTGATTTCTAGAACCTTACAGAAGATGTGAACTTTTGGGTTCAGAATGTAATTCTTCTACATTGGTTTTGCATAATTTATGAATAGACCCTTTTGTTCTCTTTAGTGAACATGACTGGAAAAATTTCTTCACTGAAGGGGTTGTCAAGCACTGGAACAGGCTGCCCGGGGCAGTGGTTGAGTTACTATCCCTGGAGGGATTTAAAAAACGTGTAGATTTGGCACTTGGGAACATGGTTTAGTGCTGGACTTGGCAATGTTAGGTTAATGGTTGGACTCAAAGGTCTTTTCCAACCTAAACAATTCTATGATTCTGTTCATATGAAATCAATCAGCTCCACAAGTGCAGTAACTTGCCATCTCCTCTGCACTCTTAGAGAGTCCAATTTCTTGTAGGCAGGCTGTTTTTTAAAGCTGATTTTAATGCCACAGGGAAATCAAATCACTCACTACAAAACCCTTTCAATCTCTTTTCCCCTTTTCTTAATATTTTTGATGTATTTCTTTCCATGTTTTTCCAATCTAGTCATTGTCTTAATCCTTTGATTGTCCACCTTCCTTATTGTTGACAATTTAGTGCATCCCTTCACCAGAGGAAAAAGATGGGAAAAGTCCAACTCATCTCTGTAATATACCCATAATTATTTAATGGTGATGCCTCATTCATATCCCAAGAATCTGGGAGATAAGTTGCTCGAGATGTTGTCAGCAAGGCACATGCACCAAAATGCACAGTGGTGTTTATGATGAAACAATTTGCTATGGGACTAATCCATAATAACTTTTTATCAAACAAAACAGTATTCCCAGATCATTACATCTTGGTTTTACTCTATCATGTGTGGTAACTTTTTGTCTGGGTCATTTCCTCACAATTGAGTTAAATATGTATTAGTTTCATAAATAGAAGCTATATATGCTTGCAGATACAGGATATTATTGCTAAAGATGAAGTATACTTCATTAATTTTAATTTTCCAATTGGTTTGTAATAGGTTTTAATAAAATTTATTATAATATAATAATACTCCTTTGATCCACCTGTTTCCTGCTTAATTTTGACCCAAGTCTTTTATTGCAGTTGCATAATAAGAGATGTATCTGGGTTTTGTTAATTCCAGAAGTCTGTTTAATTGCATAGGTAGGATTTTTACCTAACACCAGACCAGAACTTTGAGCAAAGAGTAAGATTTATTTCCTCTTTATTGCCACACATTTGAAGATTGCTTTGTGATCTGTATGACCAAGCGTCAGTTACCTTACCAAACCTTTGCAACATAGAAATGAAGCATCCAGTGTAAATAGGGTGTCTAGGGTCACAGGATGAACAATGGAGATAGACACACCTCCAGATTATAGCTCATCTCACTTATTTTAGCATAGAATTAATTGTCCCAGAGGTTCCTGGACCACAGTGGGAACTTCAGGCAATTAGCTTCGAATAAACATGCAGCTTTTAAAGTAGAAAGAAGTGGAGTTCCCCTTCTGCATCCACTGAGCTCCACTTACCTGGGTGGACAACAGCTTTTGCTACAGGCATATGAGGAAATTCTTCCTAGTTCCTATTTCTTACTAGCATGTAATTGCCTGAGAAAGAATGTAGTAAGTCTTAAGGTAGAATAACCTTCGAGGAGAAGCCAGTTTTCATTTCATGCCAAACAGGCATCTAAAATGGGAAGATCATGAAATTTGATCAACTGTGTGTTCTCTGGTTGATAATCTTCTGCTCAAATAGTTGAAAGATGGTAGGGAAAACCATGCTTTTCCTTCCATATCCTGCCATGCAAAACTTTTTGGTTTGAGAACTGGAAGTCTTACCAATGATGTCATTTGGACCTACATTTTCAGTCATGATTTATTGCCCATACATCTCATCACGTTTGGAATATTGTTTAACAGGATGGCAGCATCTTAAGCATTTCCATATTGATAGCTGATAAAATTTCAAACCAAGATGCAATTCTGAAGTCCCTGTTTGATCATAGCTATATATCATCTGATTTGAAAGTGGCTAATCGGAAAAGAATTAAATTACCAGCCACATATTCTATGCCCAGGAAATTAGAAGTGCTTATTTTATATAGCTTATTTTATAAGTTGAGGCTTTATTGCCTTAAGAAACTGTCACTGAGTTTAATGCTGTTAAAGTCCCATTAAATCAAACCTCAAGTGGATTGTATGTGGTCATTTTGTATGTATTTTGCAATGCAAAGCTTTTAGCTTTAATTTTATGGCTTAGAAGCATTACATGGCACTCACTCCACAGTATAGGTATGTATTATTCAGAGTTTCTGAAAGCATTAGTGTTATTGACAGAACCATCTTATAGCCTCTCTTTGTTGAAAGAATCTTTCATTTTTGCTGTCTTTCTGAGCTGCATCAATTATTAAAATGTTCATGAAAACTGGAATTGTTCCCAGGTATTTTTGCATGCATGTTTTTCTGAAGAGATGGTATCAAATGGATTTTATGGTATCAACTAATTTGTTTTATTTGTGTGCCAGGTGGTATCTTGGCCAACAAACAAAATTGCTTTGATGACTTTCAGTGTGCTGCCGAATACCTCATCAAGGAAGGCTACACATCCCCAAAGAAGTTGACTATTAATGGAGGCTCAAATGGGGGCCTCTTAGTTGGTAAGATCTGCTCATATATTTCCTGGATTTGGTGATGGATTTATCAAAGTAACCAGACAAAAATTTACCAGATCCTCTTTTCAGAAGTTGCCAGAATATCAGTGTATTGGTCTATACCAGGTGTAATACACAGTTTTACTTCATTTGCTGTTTGCATAGGACACTGGGATTTGCAGTCTATAGCAAAGGCCGACTGTTAAAAGCCGTGCTTAAAGTTACTGTCTTGTGTGATAGAGCTAACCCTGTGGTCGAATCACACAGTAAGAAAGAATGCTTAAAAAACATTTGGGTTTGGGTTTTTTTTTTTTTTTATCTTTTCTTTCTTAAGGCTAACTACTACAAAATAATTACTGAATAACCAGAAATCTGTAATGTAGAATCGGGAAACTTTGTGTGGTATGTAGCATAAGCCAGAAACCTATGCCCTGTGATCCTTCATCAGAGGTTCTCATTCACTCTTTCTGTGGTCATGTATTCTTGTTCTTAGAGGGCAGATGAAAACGTGACAGTTCTGCGATTAAAGCCTTAAACAGGGACGTGTAACAATTTGGCTCTGCTTTCATTGTGTAGTTAAAACATGCCCGCAAATAAAATCAGTAATGTCTCTGGTGAGAGATGCAAAGTACAAGTACAGCTACTTGAAGAAGTCATGAGCTTTTGAGGGACTGTGTCAGTTGTAGAACTTTGTTACAAATGCATCTTTTTCACATGTAATTCGCTGCCATGTTCTTTAATTCAAGGAAGTTAAGTCTCCTCTTAAACAGAAAAGCCTGCCACAAAAATGTCTCACAGTTTAAGCAGTACTCAAAGAACCACAAAATGTGTTTCTGATTAAGTGCCTTGGTCTGAAAGCAGTAGAAGAAAAAGGGAGATTTTATTCCATTTTGAATGGAAAAGGAAACACAAATGAATAATGCTGCAGTTTGTATTTTTTTAAATAGCATGAAAGGCCTGTGACAGTGTGACAGAATTGAGCTACTTGTGAGAAGAAAAAAAAAAAGGCATTTCAAGTTCATAAACCACTGATTTATAGAAAATGAGGAGATTTACTAGGCCCGCTCTTTGCTCGCTCTTCTTTTTATACTCCTTCCTATGTATCTGCCACTGAATACTGGCTGTATTGATTTGATTTTATTTTTCAGTGAAGTAGCATCCAGCATAAGAAGCAGGATTTGGTGTTATACAGATCTTTGATCTAAGTCATCTTGGCTATTCCTGCATTCTTATTTTTAAAATCGCAAGTATACGCAAACTGAAATTTTTGCTTTCTGCTTATATACTTCTGGGTTAGAGATGGCAGGAGTTACTTGTGCATTGTAAATAGGAGCACCAGTAGAAATGAATGATATGGTAACAGATTAAAAGGTTTGTACACCATTGCACAAGTCAGTTTTATGTGAGTGTAAATATATAATTGGAAATGCAGTTAAACTTTCAACATTTTACATAGCTTCCTAAAACACTGTTTTATGGCTACATGGACTTCTGTTTCACTCAGGATGAGATTCATCCTACCCAGCCTTAGTCATCAAAACCCCTGTGTTTCTGACTGAACAAGTCAGCTGGGCTCCTTAGTTAGGTAAGGGGAAGCAAGTGACATCTGCAGAGTGTACTTCATTCCAGTAGGAGACAGGTGTTAGGAATCTAGACCTCCCTGCTCTGAATAGCCTGTTGTTAGAAACCTTCCCTTGTACTCGCAGATGGATTACAATCCAGCTGTATTTCCATGCATTTGATGAGCCAGATAGGGATTTTCCTTGACTAGGTAGAATTAGGTGAATTTAGTAAATTCTTGCAAGTGCTTTTTCATCAAAGCAGAACTAAATTTTGCAATAGTTGTTCATGCAGCACTAGGGAGCATAACTCCTGCTTTAGGTGGAAGGACTCACTGCCAGATTTTCTCAGTTCTCATTTATTGAAAGAAAAAGTGACAAGTAAGAGTATTGTCACTCTTCCAAAATACTGTTTCCTTTTAGTCAGGCTAACAGGAGGTGTCTCTGAGGAGTGCAGAGCCTTGAGCTCTTGCCTCATTCAACTGCAAAACAAGACTTCTTTGTCCTGCAATGTGATCCCCAAGCTGAGTAGAACCACAGCTGTGAGCTAAAAACCTCCTTTGTGCAAATGCAGTTTGACCTCTCATGTTTGCTTAGACAAACAGATCTGAGGTTTTGAAATCTTACCTTTGTACTGAATTTTAAAGCTCCAAGTAGATGTAGGGAAGTAAAATTCACAAATAAATTTCTGTTCCAGGTAACAGTTTATTAATGCATGTAATTAAGTATAATGGCTACTTAAAGGGGTGCAGTGGGAATGGATGAGTGTCTCCATAAGTTATTTCTTACTGAAGTAACTATTTAGGGAACTAGGAGCAGCAATTTTTTATGAAATCCTGAGCAACACACACTGCTTCAAGAGACACTCTGCAATAAAAAGTGCTAAAATGAAATGTTATACAATAGTTGCTTTGGCTTTTTTTCGTACCAGAATATAATTTGTGTTCATGAAAGGAAATAACATAAAGGCAAGGGATCTGATCAAAAGCTTCAGTTAAAAGGATAAAGAGCTCTCACATGGCAGCCATTTAAGGCACCACATATCTGTTAAGAAAATCACTCAAAAAGGACCCAAAAAGAGTTAGCATAGCTTCATAACAGAGATGACCAGAAGTAAAATCGCATCCTTCAGAAAACAGAAATCATATTCAAAAGCAGAAATGAGGTAGAGCATAAACTCCGAGAGAGACTGATGGACTACAGGAGACTGATGAGCAAATTGCTTCCGCTATAAAGATCAGCAGTGAAAGCTTTCTATGCACATCAGAAGCAGAAAGCTAGCCAGAGGATCTGTGGAGCTTATACATTAAGCGAGGTGTAAAAGGAGCACTAGAGGCAAGTAGTGACAGAGCTGAACAACTAAATGGTGTATGTGTGTTGATGTTCCCTCCTGAGGAGCCTGGGGAGTTCCCTGCACCAGAGTCTTTCCTCATGGGGAACACTCTGAGGAGCTGTCTCAAGCTGAAGCATCAGCAGAAGAGGTTTTGGAGTAAATCAATCACATGAAAAGTAGTGTGTTGCCAGGACCAGATGGTGGACACACACGATCCAAGTGAACTCTGATACGAAATTGCAGGCTACTAAGCCTGAATATCTGAGGAACAGAAGGGGGCAAGTGTAATGCCAATTTTTAAATGGTTCATGGTGATCCAGAAGCTGCACATGAGTAAAGCTGACTTCTCTAATAGGCTAACCAGCTAAAACCAGTGAGTAATAGCTGATGAGCAAGAATTTTGTAGGCTGAAGTTACATCTTGCAAATCTATTAGAGCTATTGGAAGGAGTCAGGCAGTGTATGGTGCTTTTAACAGTGATCTTGGTGAGGAGTTATTCTTGGATTTTCAAAAGCTTCTGACAAGGTCTCTTGCATAAGGCTATGCAAGAAAGTTCTTGCTGAGCAAAAAGCAAGGTCATGTCATAGCAATATCCTGGTTAGCAGAAGGCAAAGAATGGTAATAAACAATCCATTTTCACAATGGACAAAAATGAGGAGATAGAATAATTTGGGAAAGACTATGCCTACATGTGGATGTGCAGTGATTAGCTCTGAATAAAGACAAGGATTCTGGGATCCATTGTAGTAGGTATGTGAAAATTTCAGTACTCTTATTTCTTAAAATTCAAAAAAAGCTGGGGAATTTGTAAAATCACCAGACGACAGATTTAAATCAAGCAACAGAGACTGGAATTGAAGAACCTATTGCTGCAGAATATGATGAACACTAGATCTCTTGATTTAAGGAATGTAACATTCTTCTTAGGTGTAGCTTTTTCTAAAAAAAGTATGAAATAGGAATCTTTGTGACTTCATGCTGCATGAATAAACATTATGAAAGAAATTAGATGTATTTACAGAGGGTTTGTGTTTTGATGGCTGTTTTAACAGGATGGCTGCAGGTAACTCCAACTTGGGGAAAACCTAAACAACTAGTTCAAAAGCAGATAATGTACAGGAAGTATCTCCCAGTATTTGCTTTACCCTTTTTCCCAGAGCATCTGCCAGTTGCCACTCTTATAAACTGAACACTGAGCTAGATGGACCTGCTGTGGTTATTTTTAAAATATATGAGGCAAGCATTGTTCTTGAAGAAATTGTCCTTTCCAGTAGTAGGAAGATGGGGGTCATAAAAAAAAAAAAGATAAAACAGTAATTTGTTTTATTAAGATGAGGTTATTCCTCTGATTTTTATAGCATGCTTTTATCAAAGCTTTTCATATGGGTTTACATAGTAATTATAGAAGAAAACTTTTATCAGTAAGTGTTCCTTAATGCCCTTTTCTTTGTTTAAACTAGTATTAAGGTTTAGACAGTGAATGTTTTAGGAACCTCCAATTCAGTAGTCCAAAGCTCACATATTTTAAAAGTGAATTTCTCCTTTAAACCCAGTTTGCTAGTTTGGAAGGTAGTTTTCAAAGAACAGCGTGTTTGGTGCCTGAAGAACAGGGAAATAGCTCTTAAACAATTTTGAACATATCATCTTTGAGAGTTATAATTTTTATTCATTAGCATATTTGCTTTTGGTTTTGCTTAAAAGTCTGTTTGATTTTGTATGCACTGTCAGTCTTCTCCCAGTGCAGTTGGGTTTATATCAGATATTTTGTACTGAAGTTTTTTGGCTCCAGGTGTTATATGGTAATCCATATTTCTTCTTACATTGTTTTAACTTACAATTTTACTTTTCTTTTTCTTTTTTTTTTTTTTTTCCCCTGTTTTTAAGAAACTGAGTTTATAAAAGATAGCTTTTTGGAAGTTGGTCTTTCATGAACTTGGCAGTGGACCTATTACTGCTGAGCTTAATTCTTTAAGATACGAATACTAATAGAGTTGTTTTCCTGTCAAAGCTGCCTGTGCTAATCAGCGCCCTGACCTATTTGGTTGTGCTATTGCCCAAGTGGGAGTCATGGACATGCTCAAGTTCCACAAGTACACCATTGGCCATGCTTGGACCACTGACTACGGTTGCTCCGACTGTAAAGAGCAGTTTGAATGGCTGTGCAAGTAAGTGCCTTTAAATACCTCCGTGGTGGTTAAAATGCGTAGTATGATCAACAGTTTCAGATTGTCATGTTCAGTATCTAGACTAAGAATTACTTAGTCCTTTCCCACACTAAATTTGGGGAGCACAGCATTTCCTTCAAGTCAGTTTCACATGAAAGATTAACTTCAAAGCCCCGTTGAGTCAACTGGTCATATTTTCAAAGACCTTGTTCTACAGCTTTAACAACTCATAAGGTTTTCTTTCTGAATAATGACTCCTTTAGGCTGTCACAACAGAATATTCTCAAGTGAACTGCTACATAAATAGTGGTTTTTACAATGGGGAGAGACAATCACCATTGTGAATTATATTATACAATGTGAATGGGATCTATTTGTAGGAATTGAAAGGCTATAACAGCGTATTCATTTCCTAACTCCATGCTGAGAGGTCTGAAAAGATTATTTTTAAAAAAATAAACAAAGAATTCGATGTCAAGTCCAAATACTAGATGATCAGTTGGGACCATTGTAATTAGATTGTTTCAAAACCTTCAGTTGTCTAATTTAAGTCTTCAGTGGAAAACTTTTGTAAATATGGTGCATGAAACAACTAACAAATTTCATAATTTCATTTTTATCAATAGATAAAATAGATTTTAGATAATAGATAAAAGATTAACTGTTATAAAAATGATCCAAATAATCTTCATGATTTTGGACTCTGAAACTTCCTTGCACATCTGTAAATTCAAATATTCTGAAGAGGTAATGTAGAAGCAAAGTTTTAAATTCATTCTGTGATAAAGAGAAATGTATCTGCAGCAAGGAGTCACTCCATACCTACTTCAACACATGCTTACTCACAAAATCTCAATGCATAATTTTAGAAACATCTTATATGGCAGTACCTGAAATATTTCTTTCCCTCCTTTTCACTAGCTATATATGTAACGTTGCTTAGATGGTGCCTTTACAGGCACCCAAAAAATTCATAAGGCAAATAGCGGCATGTAGTGACTATCATTTAACTTCTTTTCAAAACAAATAATAGTTTGAAAAATCACTTACATTGTTCCTTAGATGAAAATGAGGAAGCCAGAGATCTGCTAGGTTAGACATTCAAATGTCGTCACGTGTTCTTAAACATAATTTGGAGTTACTTCCTGGTTACTCCTCCAAGTGGGAAATTCATTCAAAAATAAAGTAAAATTTCCTTCTGTATTGCCTGTCATGAAATAAGGGGGAAAATAGTATCCTACTCTTGATTTAAGGAATGTAACATTTTTTCTAGGTGTAGCTTTGTCTAAAAGAAGTATGAAATGTTTAGATGGAATTCTTCATGGCTTACCTTTAATTTCTAATGCTAAAGGGTACTTTGTGTTGAAATATGTAGATACACCTTTTATGTTATGTTACAGTAGCTAAAAGATATAAATCCTCCTGCAAAGAAAGCAAATTTTGAAAGTTGGATTGTTCATTGTTCAGCAAATAAGAATTGAAGTCATCTATCAAAACCAGGAAAACTTAGAGTTCTTGTTTCTGTTTCCTGTGTGGTGTTCCCTCAGTTTCCCTATTGCCCATTCCTGATATTTTTGGCATTTCTATGACATGTATGCATATACCTCTCTGAAATTAAAAAAATGTACTTCCTTCACAGTTGAGAGCCAGAGTTTTGTGGCCACTGTCAGCAGTTGGCAGTAGTGCAATTCTGATGTATGCAACTGAAAACTGTAGTATTCTGAGTGCTATCAAATGCCACTGTGATGATTTCAGTATGAGAGAATCTTCTTTTTGGGTCTTGAGGAAAAAGTATGTAAAGATTTGTGTGCTCTTCTCAGGTACTCTCCGCTTCACAATATCAAACTACCACAAGAGGATGGCATCCAGTATCCCTCTACGCTGCTTCTCACAGCAGATCATGATGATCGCGTGGTCCCTCTTCATTCACTGAAGTTCATTGCTACTCTGCAGTATGTTGTGGGCCGAAGCCGTAAACAAACCAATCCACTTCTCATCCATGTTGACACCAAGGCTGGGCATGGAGCAGGAAAGCCAACTGCTAAAGTTATAGAAGAAGTGTCAGATATGTTTGCTTTTATAGCACGATGCCTAAATCTTGATTGGATTGAATAGGCAAAATGCTTATTACTGTCTCCTTTAGAAAACAAGGGCTTTAACACCATTTAAGACCAACCAGACTACTACTTGGTGTAGTACTTACATTTAAGAACTGCGATTTAATATTTTATTGATCCAGTTGACTATGGAGTTTTGATCTTTTGTGCTTCCCTCTTTTTGGCATTTCTTTGAATTTCTTTCTACCACATCGCAAAGTACATTTTGAAAAGCATGTTCAAATAAATAGCTGAGCTGCTGTCGGTGCTGTTGTGAACATTTAGATTCCAGAGTTAGTGCTAGTTGAGCTTATTTCCTGTAAACAATTTTCATGTATTTTGCACCTATAAATATATCCAGATCATCTGTAATTAAATGTAAGTACTGTCCAAATACAGGAACTCTGAGCATACTTTATTTACACGGTAACTTATTTAAGAATATAAATGGAAGGTGTTCAGTGATAACCATGAAATACCGAAGAGACAGTAATTTGGGTAATTAAGTCAAATACTATTAAAAAGCTTATATTACATGCTGTTCATAAGTGTGTTACAGTCTATAATAATGCTGTTTCTAAATTGTACTTTGTTTTCAAAAAGACTTTAAAATGTCACCAGTTTTCTGTCATTTATTTGCACAGAGAAGAGAAAATTGTAGGCTGGAAAATTTCAGGAATTCTTAGATTCTCACTGTAATCTCAGGCAACCTATACAGATACTGTTCAACACCCCATCTGCTGTTAGCTCTTTGTCTATTCCTGAAGAGTAAACGAGACACTAGTTAGAAAAAAATAAAATAAAAAACCACACCCCCCCAAAAAAAAAGAAAAACAACAAAAAAACCCCAACCACCAAAACACCAAAAGCACACCTTTTGTTTTCCAGATTGTTCAAGTTCAGTTTTTCCTGATGCCTTTGACAAAATGTTCTCTAACAAGACAAAATCTGAGCATACGTATATAACCTAGTTCTGGCTGCAGAACAACAAGAGCTCATAGTCAGACTCCCTAATGATTTGACACAGGCACAGTATTTGAACTGCCATTTCTTATCTTTCTTATCTAGGCTGTAGAGCTGGAAAGTCGATGTATTTGCCTACTGCATCAATCAGTCTAAACTGATGCACTGCAGCAACTAGGGTTTGATTTTACGGAGAAAAAAAATATCCTACGGATTATTATTAGTCTTGGCCCTCCAGAGAACACTGCTGCTGCTCAGTTTTGGTTAAACTGATACATTCTTCTAGAATCATGCTGCTCATTATATTCACATTTAGACCCTAAGGCCTGTATTTTAACTCTAAGCAAACAGTGTCTCAGCACATGAAGAGGAGGGAGCGGTATTTAAGAGGAGTAGGCTGCTGTAAACAGCAGAAACATTAAAAATAAATTTGCACCAGATTCACTGTTTCTGTCATGCTCTGGGGCTTTGCTGATTCCCTCTGCAACTGAGGAAGGATCATCCCTTCTAGGCCCTTATAATTCGATTTTAGGAAGGAAAAAGAAATGCGTTTCTGATTTCTTATGAAATACTACACCAAAAACCTGTATGTGATCTGGGGTTTATTTGTGGTCCGTGAGCATTATGGTTTTACCAGGTACTTTACAGACTGATGCATTCTGACCACAACATTGAGTTAAACAATCAGAATAGGGAGTTGAGGGAGATACGTTTTTTTTTTCCCTCCAGGCTGCAAAAACAGGGCTCGGGTTCAGCACCCCCCTGTTCCCAGAGGTTTGTGAACTGTTTTCTGTGATCTTCTGGGAATTTTCAACAGCTTCCCTGAATGGCAGAAACAAAGCATGTAGAGCAGTAGCGTCCCCACTTCTGACACCTCACAGTTGCAGCATCTGGCCTTTTATTGAATGTTACCAAGAGGAAAAAGCTGCACCTCTGAGACAAGAACTTTGCAGGACAGGGTGTATGGGAAACAGGGTCCTCATGCATTCAAGAAATACAGCTTGAAGTGTGTCAGTGCGTCAAATTGCAAAGGCTTGGACACAGCCACCTCAATCATGTCTTCAGGTCTTTGTTTCTAAAAATTTTTTTCCTTGATCTCCACAAAAATTTTGGCTCAGATTAAAAATCATTCATTTTCTTCCTGAAGCTTTCTGCTTTCTGCTTTCATATGGGGCGATGGGAAACAAATTTTTCTTCGAGTGGCAATCAATAGTTTTTGAAGGTGGGTTGCTGGAGACACCACTCATAAAGTAAGGGTTCAAAAGTATCCCTTGTAGAATGCTGTTATCTATTGGGAAAGCATTATGTTTCTGTAACAGGGTCTTAATGCTGACATTTTCATTCATCTTAATCAGGTATGCCAAGGCCAGGATTCAAGTGCCAAAAAAGTGATGTTGCAGAGCTATCTTATTAGCCAAGTTGCTCATTTGGGTGCAGAAAGGGTAATGCTCCAACTGGAATCTGTAATTAACTCTGAGCAAGTAATGCTCTTGTAATAAAGTGGGATTTAAACCTTCAGAGTCTGGATTAAATAGACCTGGAGCCAAACCATTCCTGCATGAAATCTTTGTTAGTCTGGTTTCAAGGTTACCTTCTTTTCTCTACAGTGGAAATGCTATTTTTATGAAGAGGCTGTGTATTTTGTGCCTTTTATTTCCAGTACATAAATCAAAATTCACTACCTGGACTAGGTAACCTCCTCACAACTACCTGCTTTTTCAAAATCATGTTTCTTAGCAAAATAGATACCAGTGTTCTGTGCCAAAATCAAAACCAGAAAAATCTTTAAGTCTTGTAAGAGGCTTATGCTACATGAACTAAAATCTGGTTTTAAGTGGAAATAAATCGACTTTTTTGCGTATTGCTGCTTCTGATACTCTTCACAACTAGTGTGAAGATATCTTACTTATCTTTGCTCCCATGAGAATACTTTTGGATCAGATTTGATTTATGTGAAAAAGGTCAGAAGTATTTTTAAAAGCTGAGAGCCTTCATATTCTTCACAGAGAGAGTTATTTGAATTCCTTTGCATCAGAGTTAAATTATATTTTGGTAGCTAACAAAATAAAAAATACTGACTTGAGATTGGTGCTGTACCCTCCCCAACATAATCACCAAGATCTGTGGGTGGAAAAAGGCAGCTGGCCTGAGAATATGTAAGAATAAAGGACACTCGAAACAGAGGTAGGAGACACCTGTTCCTGGCACCTAGGACCTCTCCTGTTTCACCAGGATTTTCTTGACTTGACTCTGCTTTGCTATCTGTCCATAGGAAACCAGAAGCATGAGCAGCAGTACACTGGGATTCGATACGGCAAGCAACAGCTTTTAAACTTCTATGTTGTCAGGTCATTTATTTATTTTCAGCCTGAGGTAGCCCCTCAGGATTGCCTGAAGATCTGCTCATAGACTCTTCTTGACAGCCTTTCCTGTGAAAGGGGTTTTCCAAGCCGAGTAGAATTTAGGAGGAAGAGACTTGGAAGCCAAGCTAATAAACGACCACCCCAATTTTCTGCCAAGCTCTTCTACTTTGAAAATCCTTAATAGACAGCTTTTGTGCAATTGCCTCTTTGTGCAGACCTCTCAGGATTTGGATAGTTGATGCTGTTTGAATAGCCAGGGTTGGCAATTTTGTTCATTTCTCCATATGTTCTTTTAATTACTTCTGCCTTACTGTACTGCATGCCAGGAAAAGAAAAAGCAGTACTCTGGCTTTTTAGTTTTTTTCCTTGCAGGAGGGGTATATGGGGTAGCTTTCCAATTCTCATATCTCTGAAGGTAACCAAGGTGTGTCCTCAAGATAATGTTACTCTTGAATAGCTATTTCTGAATAAGCTTATGTGTTCAGTTTATTCATGGCAGAGAAATCCCAGTGATGGAATCCCTCAGTGGGGGCTGGACTAGCTACTGGCATCTGCAGAAATGAACTGAAGTTCTGGACTAGGAGGACTGTGTTTTGGCCATTTCTCCTAATTTTTCAAAAGAAGATTAACTGAAAATACAACATTTAAAACTGAGCAATAACATGTCAGTAAGTCTCTGTTCTATAGCCATCCCTCTGCCTGGCTAGCAGGAGTAACAGCGGCAGGGTACAAACATGGTGCTCATGTCCTTACCCATAGCAGGGTAAGTTTAACACTGGAAGTATGAAAGACAAGAGTCAGCTTGTGGTGATTTTCACTGAACATTTCCAGCTTCCACAGCAGCTGCAGCACGAGAACTGGAGTCGATGGATGATATCTCTGCAAATATGACATTTCTAGTGCAATATATGCTGCTCAGGAGACTACAGTTTGTGCCTGTGCACTGCTTTCAGTGCCTCTCAGACCTTCTGTGTGCAAAAACAGAGACACTATTCTTGAACCCCTCAAAGTGGGGGGCACATGCTAGTTTTAATAACCTGCCTATTAGGCGGGTCCAGAGAAGGGCAACAAAGCTGGTGAAGGGTCTGAAGAGTAAGTCTGATGAGGAATGGCTGAAGAAACTGGGGTTGTTTAGTCTGGAGAAAAGAAGGTTCGTGGGGACCTTATGACTCTCTACAACTACCTGAAAGGAGGTTGTAGTGAGGTGGGAGTTGGTCTTTTCTCCCAAATAGCAAGCGACAGGACAGGAGGTAATGGCTCAAGGTGTGCCAGGGGAGACTTAGATTGGATATTAGGGTGATCAGGTGTTAGAACAGGCTTCCCATGAAAGCGGTGGAATCACCACACCTGTAAAGTGTTCAAAAACCATGTAGATGAGGCCCTCAGTGATATGGTTTAGTAGTGGTGTTGGCAGTCCTGGGATAATGGTAGGACTTGATCTTAAATGTCTTTTCCAACCTAGTGGTTCTGTGATACTATCTGATAGTTTTAACTGAAGCATTTAGATATTTGTCTATGAACAGGGCAATATTAAGCCCAAAATATTGTCTGTAATTTTGATCTTAATTTTCACCTATAATTTCCACTGACAAAATACTGGGGAAATAATGAGAAGAAAAGTGATGGAAAGGGTTTGATTTTGTGGTATTCATATTAATTTGACCCTTTCGGTACTTCAGGAAAGTGGATGAACATTCAATGTGTGGGTTCTAAAATAAGCATTCCACAGACAAGGAGGGAGGTAGAATTTCCTGGGTTTAGGAAACAAAGTTGTATTATAAATGTAAGATTGTACACAGTGAAGCTACAGAGCAGTTGTAGGTTGAGCTGCATGAAATACCTTAATTCAGCAGGGCACCTGGACTCGTAGATGGTAATTCCATTTAGTTCTTCGCACCATCATTTTCATGCTGCTTTTCTTTCCCTGCAGAGACCTATACTTAACCTCTGACATTTCCTCAGTAAAAAACAGATGAACATTAAGATATATTGCATTTCAGTGATGCCATCAAATACGTACTCTTCTCCTGTGGGACTTCAAAAGTGTCAGAAGAGCAATAGCAAAAAAATTAATGTTTGCTTTGCCACCTAGTCATTGAACAACCATGAGCATACTAAATAACAGAGGACTTTATTCATTAGTTAGGTATGCACCAGTTAATGCAATTTTTCAGAAGTTTGGTTGAGCATGCTTTCAGGCCATTTCTGGTGTGCAACAACAG